ATGAGAACTAATAGTGTGTCTTACATTTGAATTGTCTGCAGATGATACTTCTGTATTCTGCACTTGAGTTTGAACCAATTTAGAGATTGTCACATACAAGTGAGCACAGAGATCAGAATACCACCTTTATTACTAGAGGGAGAATATAATTTATCGTAAAAAATGGGACACTTCTGAAAGTGAAAGGGACACTAACATGATGGGCTCCTGGCCCAGCATGCCTAAACTGGGATAAATGGTCATACTGTTTATTACTGGTAAGGAAAAACAGCTATTGGAGAACGTGGTTTATCTGAATCCTAGGATTAGGCAGATTTACCTACCGACTTATGGCAATAGTGGAAAACCACAGGCCTCCCTCGGAAGATCAGGTGCTGTTCCTAACATGACAGAATGTAGGACCAGCTCCCAAGGAAGAGGGAGGAGTTGGACCAAACATGGTGCTTATTCATCCCAGTTGGGATGCACATCCCAAATGGGCTTTCAGAGAGGTTCATGGGAGATATGCATGAGTAGTAAGACTCAGGTCGTATAACTCCCAACTGTCCAATCAAAGTGGTCCCATGATGACGTTTGAACCACAAGAGGTCACAATCCAAAAACTATAAAATAAGACCCAGACCATAACCAAGCTCTCTCTTTTTGCTACGACAAGGGATCCGGTCATCATCTGTGGCATAGGTATCTTGCTCTGTAAACCTATATATTGTTCTTGCTCTATAATCCTATCTTGCTCCCTCTCAATAAATTTCATCTCATATTTGCCTTTGGTGTGTCTGGTCATTCTTCAGCCATGAGCACACCAAAAACTGAGAACACAGAACGAAATTGCCAAACCTGACAAACAAGAGTTCTCTTTCTAAAACATAGGTTCCCAATCTAAATATCTCTAGTATCTCAACATTGCCTACAGAAAATTAAATACAAATTCTTTAGATTGGCATTAAGAGGAGGAAGTAATATTTATTGGTTACCTGCTTTTCAATATGGTTTTGGCCACATAAGGACACTTTATAAATATTTGCTAAGTAAATAAATACAAAGGGTTAGCAATCTCTTGGGGTATATGATAAACAGTTGGGAAGTTTGCCAGCCTGTAGAATAATCTGTGTTGAGAAAGACCAGTATAGGCAAATAGTGCTGGTACCATAGAGGTCCCTGCACCAATTGGTTTGAGTCTCTGAATGGTGTAGAAAATACCCAGAAAGATATAAACTCAAGCTATGTAAATAGGTGTATGTTAGAACCCATAAACTGCAAACATTTGAACCTGATACTTACCTCCTTTGAATTAGATTTTAGGTTCTATTTTCCCTGTTTATTCATTCCTTTGCAACCAGTCTTTTCTGACATTCATAGCCATCCCTGCCCTAACCATCTTTTTATCACATGGTTTAGGCAACTGGTCTCTTAAGCACAATATATTTACAGCACAAGATTTATCTCTTTTGCACAGGAAAATATGTCCTTACTCATTCTGAGTATCCTTGCTCTCTTACCTCACAGCATAACCAGTACATCTTACACTATAACAGCATAACCAGTACATCTTCTTTCTTCATTCATGTTTTTCTGCTCCTCCCTGCCCCCCCATTTCCATTAGTCTTACCAAATGCTGTGGAAATTCAGAGAAGGATCAGACACTGGATATGGAGGAGATGGTTCTAGATCCAGGTCTGTAGGACCCCTTCTTGGTAGGAGTCAAATAAATAAGAGTGGGGGCAGTGCTTTAAGCAAGTATATCATTAAAATGACTTGGCTAGGTAATAAAAAGTTGGTCAGTTTAGTTGGAGTTCTTGAAAATTAGTAGGCGACGAGGCTAGAACTTTGTTGCCCACAAGATGCTCTGGTGATAGATTAAAACAGAGGTGAGGGATTGTGAACCTTTTCTGTAATCTTAATATAGTATCTTTTTACCTATTAATACTTTATTTTTCACCTGCCTTGGGGTCTCTCTGTCTTTGAATAACTATAAGAAAATGCTTCCCACGGGGATTTTTCAGGGTGAGAGAACTATAATTAGCAAACTCTTGTTGGCTAAGTACAAACTTAAATACTGTTTAGGTAGGGAACCTGAGGAACAGGGAAGAAATGTTCTAG